AAGTAGAAAGACAACATGTTAAAATCGTTTTGTGCCAGCCGCACTGTCTTCCCAACTGAGAAATGATGAGAAGAAAAAAATCATTAAGGCCTTCAGTAATGGTACCAACATTCATAGTCAGGCTTCCGTCTTCAAAGTTCATTCAAGAACCGTCTGTAGAACGGTGAATAAGTTTAAAACGTGGATACTTTTGTTTGGTTTGAAACGACTTTAATGTGATACGTGACAAAATAGTGAAACTGGCAAAAGACGTTTCGTTGGAGTGTGGCGTTGAAGAAGTCGAGGATTTGCTAGATGGGGAATCGGGAGAACTTACAAATGGAGAATTGGAAGAAGGAAAAGTCGCAGAAGAAGAAAGGGGAGGGAGACCGAGAAAGAGGAGGAGGAAGAGCTACAACTGGATTTTCACAAGTAACAGGATTTCAGAAGAGTTATCGCAACTGAATAAAGCTCTTGCACAATTTGAAAGAATGGACGCAAACACTGGACGATTTGCAAGGATTGAACGGATAATACATGATGCGATTAGTCCATATCGTGTAATTTACGATGAGAAAAAAAAAGAACCCCAAAAAAAAAACAGACGATTCAGACAAAGCTAACCAAGTTTATGAAAGTCGTATCTCCCTCCCACCCGATAATAGATATAAAACGGAGACAATGAAACAGAAGAAGAAAAATATAAGTGACGATAGAAATGTGGCCGGGGGTGGGTGGGCAATATCACCCCCCTCCCCCGAAATAATAATCATGAAATAAAAAGGGATGCGGTGAGACAAGAAAACACAAGTGAAGAGAGACGTTTTCGAATAACCAAGATGTTGATATGCCGTAAACATTTTGAAATATTAATGTTACAGATTTTATTTAGAAAACGAAAATACGATCTTTTTTTTTCTTTTTTTTTAAGTGTACATAAGATATCAGTTTATTAATAAAAGATAGAATTAAGAATGTCATGAGCTAAAGGTTAATTTTATCGATAAAACAAGACATCCATTGAGGTACGCAGACACACATACACACGCGCTCGTCCACCGGAGCTCACATAAACATAAACATAAACATATGTGAACAGTATGGGACTTGACATATATATGTATATGTGTACTGTTGTGTACATACGCACGTATTTGATTGCTGAATTCAATGAAGGATTGTGTAGCAAATAATTTTCCTGAATGTAGCGATGTCAACACTCAGACTGTTTTTCTATTTTTCCGCTAAATAATATTTTCTCGCACGCACGTATAATGGGGTCCGTGTAAAACTATGATAGGTAAAAATTTCTATTATTTTTAATTTTTCAAGGCTGTTTTGTTATTATTTTAAAGCCGGTTATTTGCTTGTTTTTTTGGTGATTGCGCATATGTAAATGGTAGAAATTTCAATTTGTAATTCTTATTAGTTTTTATGCGCTGGTATTAATTTTTCTGTGGGGGATAGGAGTAATTTACGTTAATGGTTATTGCGTACTAACATGGCAATAGTAATTGTGATGTGGTAGTAATGGTGGGGGTGTTTGATGATAATAATAATTGTAGTAGAAAATAGTTATTGTAAAGTGGTAGAAGAGATTAGTAATGGTGGTGGAATGATAATAACAATAAATGCAATTATTGTGATGGTAGCTTGAACTAGAGAGTAATTGTTGGTGTTATGGTATCAGAGGTTTCTCTTTTCATGTTTATAGGGTCACTGGTGGTTTATGTGGTGGTGTTTCTTTATCCGTTTGTTATAAATGCTGTTAATAGTATTTATTTTCACGTTTACATTTTGAAATTATTTCTGATCCTTTGTTTAGTAAATTCTTTTGCGGGGTATGAGATATTATTGCTACTTTTTCTTGTAGCCAAAGTAGGCATTTTTTTTGTAATGTTGTTGTAGGCAGGTGCTTTTTCAATATTTTCCAGTTTATTCTTGGTGTAATATTTCTGTCTTTTAGACGCCATATGTATGTGGATAGTGCAGTGCTCTTCGAGTATTTTCTGTTGGAGAATGAAAGGTTGTGGTTGTTTTTTTTCTCTTCTTGAATGGACCCTCCGTGGCACCGATGTAGTACATTGTGCTGTTGTGTGTACTTACCTTGGCTTTATATATTGTATTCGTTTGTTGGCAATTTCCCTGGAGTGGACATGTTGTTCAATTTATGCAGTTGCATTGAGGTTCCTTGGTTGCATTATTGTAGGTTGTCATTTTTTTGTTGTGGCTTTTTATTATTTCTGCTATATTTTTTTGTGCAGCTGCTACTGATTTTAACGTTATTTTTGTTGAATATTTTTGCTAATCGATTTGTTTCAGCGAAATGCTGTTCTATTAAGTCCTCCCTATGTTTTTTTGACAATACACGTAACCCTACAAAAATCCAAGGTCACAAACCCACATCAATTCAACTATATATATATATATATATATATATATATATATATATATATATATATATATATATATATATATAATAAAAAAAGAAGAACAGTAAAATATATAATCTGGTGTTCTTATTAATATTTTTATTTTTACAAAACAGTGCTGAATGTAAATTTACAGAGCATAAATATTATAAATTAACTGATTTAAAAATATGGTTCCATCGCAACACAGGAATTACCATGTTTCAAAAACAGAAACTAAAAACTTCAAATTCAATTATATAATAAAATTAAAAGCCATAGTTCTATTTCATTTTCAAGCGAATTTTGGAATAACTTATTTTGAAATTTATATAATATATATTTTTATAAGCACATACATTCATAATATTTGTTTCCAGGGAAACTGAGAAAATCAATCATTTTGACAGGGGTGGTAGCGTGTTCATTTATACTGACGACTGTTGTATCAAATATGAGTTACTTTCCAAAAGAGGTTAAGTCTAGGTAGGGTATAGGGTGCCTTTTTCAACGAATTATGACATCGGTTGAACGCATGTCGTCTGGTTTTTATATACGACAAAAGTTTTTCGGCATTTTTTCCGTTAAATTTGTATTTGTATACATCAAAATTATTTCTGAAAGGGGTGTACTCGAATCGGAAATGTAAGCATATTATATCTGTCGATAAATTTGATGGCTTGGGTTGGAACATGAACGTCTAAAAATCGGCATGAACTTACCGGACAATCCAATACATGCTTGTGGAGACATTATTACTAGAGGCGGTGATATGTGCTTCATTTTGTAGTTTTGTTGAAGTTGTATATTAGAATAGTGATTGATTTCTTTAAGAAATTGTAGGGTATTATATGGATTAATGTCATGAAATAGTTCTTTCTTGTTGGTTGTTTGGATGATTTTGTTTAGCGTCATATCAACCTCTATGAGTTATTTAACCATGAAATCTAAATATTTTGGACACAATTGTACGGCTTCAACTAAATATATTTTGAATGCGATTGTATGCCTTCAACTACAGATAAAATGTATTGTTGGTCATTTTATTATATGTATTGTTAAGTGGTTGATTTTTTCAGCGGTATATCAACCTTTATGGGTTATTTAATGCTGAAATCTAAATATTTTGAACATAATTTTATGGCTTCAACTAAATATATTTTGAGTATAATTGTATAATTTAATGCCAAAGTTTAGTTTTCTTGGAAGCTTGGAAGTAATAAAAATATGATATATGTTATTCTGCTTTCGCAATTGGACACATGGTAGACTTTCAACAACGGATAAAATGTATTGTTGGTCATTTTATTATATGTATTGTTAAGTGGTTGATTTTTTCAGCGGTATATCAACCTTTATGGGTTATTTAATGCCGAAATCTAAATATTTTGAACATAATTTTATGGCTTCAACTAAATATATTTTGAGTAAAATTTTATAATTTAATGCCAAAATTTAGTTTTCTTGGAAGCTTGGAAGTAATAAAAATATGATATATGTTATTCTGCTTTCGCAATTGGACACATGGTAGACTTTCAACAACGGATAAAATGTATTGTTGGTCATTTTATTATATGTATTGTTAAATGGTTGATTTTTTCAGCGGTATATCAACCTTTATGGGTTATTTAATGCTGAAATCTAAATATTTTGAACATAATTTTATGGCTTCAACTAAATATATTTTGAGTAAAATTTTATAATTTAATGCCAAAATTTAGTTTTCTTGGAAGCTTGGAAGTAATAACAATATGATATATGTTATTCTGCTTTCGCAATTGGACACATGGTAGACTTTCAACAACGGATAAAATACTATAAGATGTAATGTTAGTAATTCTACTATAAATATGTAGTGTTGCCATTTTTTTATATATAAATAAGTATTGCTGATGTTACTATAAAATGTATTTTTATACTTTCATGGTGTTTTGTTTTTGTTTGGGAGTTCACTAATTGTCCATAGCTGGGACCCTAACAGGTGCTACCACCCTGGGGTCAGGTGGGTCTGAGAACAACGGCAATTAGGAGGAGGTCCCACACTCCTCAAAACTTCTAATCTTCCGATCTTGCTGCCGGGTGTAGTTTATCGTCGTACCCTGGACTGTGTACTTTTGAATAGTCTAATAAAATTAACAGTTTAAAGTATACCGAGTATTTCATCATGTTGCTAAACAAACCACTCGCTGTACTTGGCCGGACAAAAAAGGATTTTTTTGTTGCGAATTGCTGGACCGTATACAAACTGCTCAACGCTACAGTAGGCATCAGACTAGTTATTTACTCGAGCACGGTGACAGGGTGGGACACGTTGAGGAACCCAACTGCGTGCACATGGACTAAGCTCCCAATTTACCAGTTCCCCGCAACCAACGTCGCGCTGACGTCGATATCCCATTGACCCACCGTCTTTGATGCTGCCGCAAGAGTGGAATCCTCGTAACTAGACATCCCTCATTATTTTTTTTGTGCTTTGTCCGAAGACAAAGACACAAGTTACGAGATATAATGTTTGCAAGCCAGAAAGTTGGGCAGCAAGTTTGAATGACGTGTCTGAAGAGGAATAAAGCTTTGTTTGAGGGCAAGGACGTCAAATAAAGAATTTGACTTACGGTCACGTCGCGTTGAAACAAGGTTCCTGTACGATCACCGAAGTTAAGCAATGTCGAGTGTAGTCAGTACCTAGATGGGTGACCGCTTGGGAATACCACTTGCTGTAACCTTGGATATACAAGTAGTGTAATGGATAATGGCGCAAATACCATTTGGGTAAGGTATGAAACCGCCACTTTTCCCTCCAGCTATGGATTAATTAGTAAGGCTTGTATTGCTAAATCATTAGTATCTTCCCTCAACAACAACAACAAAAAATGTGTACAAAATATTTAGAATTCGGTATTAAATAAGCTATAGACACTATTTACATTATTCGGACTATTGTTCTTATACAGCTACTAAACTATAGACGTTGATATGTCGCTAAACAAAAACAGCCAACCAACAATCAGCTAATGCGACCTCTGTTCTCATCGCCGACCTTCCCTAGTTGAAAAGAATGGCGGGTTATAGTTTTGTATAAAAGGCAATAGTTATAAAAGTCCGGCTAAACCATTGCTAGTTTCGTGTGTTCGATTCTCAGGTTACCACGCTATCATGTCTATCGTTTAATCTAAGATAAGATTAGTAATGATTTGCAGTAGAAAATATGGCGACTTCGATCCGGAATCAAGTTTTGAGTTCGTGATCGTTTTCTTGCCTAAGTATCTATGGTAAACGCAAAGCAATAAGAAGTACTTTTGAATTCTTCTAAAAGATTAAACTTTTTGTTTGAAACAGTCTGGGGTGTCAGCATCTTCCTTAGGCCATTATTTACTCTTCTATTTGCATGTGCTATCCATTTCTACTGCTTAAACTCCTCAAGTGATGCAGTTTCTCTTATTTGTTATAGTTCTTTATTTGTGATCCTTTAACGTTTGAAGAAGGATGAGCCTCGCTAGGACCTACAGTGTTCGTTCACTCGAAGCCACCTTAAAAAAAAAACTATATGAGAAAGCGGTGGTATACAGCTGGCACTTTGGAAATTTCTGAGCGAGTTGGGCGCCATGTATGGCATCAATATAAATGTTTCTCTGTTTATGTTTTGGTTTTGTATCAACCTGCGGTGTTGTGTGAAACTACACCTCACCGCAATTTATTGTATATTCAATTTCCTTACCAACTAAATTGCGTTTGTTATAACATATCCATACGTCGAGATATGTGAAATGTTCAGAATTTTCTAATTCCATATCTTGATTTTTTAGGATGGATCCAAGATAGGTGCCGTCACTGTTTTCATTTCAATTCCAGTTTCTGTTTTGGAAAGGTTTATTCTTAAGTCCTATTTCTTGTAATATTTCGTTTGTTCAGTATCATTCTTATTCCAATATGTATACCTCGGTGCAAAGGAATGCGACCTCCATCAACAAATCCGCTTAATGGGCCACATAAACAACCTAATGATGCGAATCTTGATGAAAAGGAAGCAAAGCAGAATTAGACCGGAAATAGGACAGAAACATTGGTGCTTTGTCAAGGGCATCGGAACAAGAAATGCAATATTCATGATCCGAATAATACCAGAGAGAGAGAGAGAGAGAGAGAGAGGCAGGCGCATGCTTTATAGGTTATACACAGTTCTAAATTCCATTTAGTAAAAAACAGAAACTTCTTGAAACATCAAGTAATAATTTAAAGTTCCTTTTAGCAAACAAATTCTCACAGTATTCATATAACACAAAACATTTCAAGTATTTCACAAAGAACATTTCTTGCAAAAACAAACTCTTTTTCATTGTGAGACTAGACAAAAAAAATTCCTTCTTTCAAAGAAAAGTTATCAAACAATTAAATTCATAGTTAAGGGTAAACAACTCTTAATTTTGCATTGTAAATTTTGTATCAAAAATACTGTTTTAAAGGAACATTATAAAGCATGTTAATTTGCCCAATTATGAATATTGAACATTGAAATTCAGCTTAACTCACTTAAATATTCTGATCAGTTTATTCTTGATAATTAGTATGATTCCTATATAAATATTGTAGTTGTTTGACATCATTGTTGTGATCTTTTGTATTGCCTTGTGCCATACATCTATTGTTAAATGCCTGTGGAGAAAGGAAATTTTATACACGCACCCGACCTGAAATGACTAAACATCTTTCTGATTAATTTTTAAAATTATTTAACCTTCACCCTCACAACAGTATTGTCATATGAAAACAACATGATTAGCCTTAGAGATTTCCTATGCGTATCGCCGACGTGACACATGGCCAACCGTATATGGCATCCAGTGAGCATCAAACGCACTATTTAGTCGTAAGTGAACTAGCTAGAAAAGCATGCTATCCATTACAAGTGAAGTGTCAGGCTTGACTGGCCATGGTTAACACTCTATTTAACAGGTACAAATTGCTTACCTTCATGCTCATTTGCAACGCTGAGTCTTAACCCTAAACATAACCGTACTATGGTTAACAGTTTCAAATTGCTCTCTATCATACTCATTACAACGCTGAACCCTAACTCCAATCCTAACTCTTACCCTGCCATGGTTAACACACTATTTAACAGGTTCAAATTGCTCGCCTTTATGCTCATTTGCAACGCTGAGCCATAAACCTAACCCTAACCCCGGCAGGGTTAACACACTATTTAGCCGGTTCAAATTGCTCCCCTTCATACTCATTACAATGCTGAACCCTAACCCTTACTCTGTCATGACTAACACACTATTTAACAGGTTTAAATTGCCCTCCACTTCAGGCTCGGTACAACACTGAGTCCTATCCCTAACCCTAAACCTAACCCTAAACCTAACCCTGCCATGGTAAACACATTTTTAACAGGTTCAAATCGCCCCACTCCATGCTTATTACAACGCTGAAACATAACCCTAACCCTGTCAGGGTTAACACACTATTTAACAGGTTCAAATTGCTCGCCTTTATGCTCATTTGCAACGCTGAGCCATAAACCTAACCCAAACCCCGGCAGGGTTAACACACTATTTAGCAGGTTCAAATTGCTCCACTTCATGCTCATTACAACACTGAGCCCTAACACTAAACCTAACCCTAACCCTGCCATGGTGAACATATTTTTTAACAAGTTCAAATTGCCCTCCTTCATGCTCATTACAACACTGAGCCCTAACTCTAACCCTTCTACAAACCATCTGACACGGTTCTACATTAAGAAAAAAATATCAGAAATTGATTGCTTTAATTCGGGAACTATTTTCGGTTCGGGCCTGTAAATGAGATCTTTCAGCACACCCCCAAAATCTGGTAGTGTTAAGTCTGGCGTTTGTGATGGTCACTCAGTTTCTCCACGCCGTCCTATCCACCTCAGCTCGAAAAAAAGGAGTATTACCGCACCTTGTATATAAAACGCTTTTTAAGAAAATCATTAAATACAATTCAGATTATACATTGGCGAAAAACATAAAAAAATTATTTGTGCTACAAGCATCATTCTTTGGTTATTTTATTATCGCATATGATTAAATTTATTTTCTTCATGTTTACCAAATATAAGTCACGAGAGCCACGCAAGGTAGATGGTTAGGGAGTGAGGTGTACAATATGAATGAGAGAAAAAGTATAAGATACATTATATAGAAAAGGATGACGGATTATGGTTAACCTTTGATGTGAATAAATTAAATTTGTAGATTAAATATTTGTTTCACTAAAAAAAGGAGAAACTAAAGTTAAAAATTTCAATGTTGATTTTCTAGTCTAACAGGTCTTGTAAACTTAGAAGATTGGCGTAATACAATCTTCCTCGCCTTATTTTCATTCATTTAGTTTTGTACTATTCTGTGACACTGAGGCTGTGAGGTAGTTAAACGTCAATACTAAGCATGAAAAAGGTTAATCCCAAAATGAAATATAAACTGGAAGATAGAGAGATAGAGAGATAGAATGGAAGACATATTCCCTGATTATGTGGAAGTGAAGATAGAGCCATACGGGTTGCCTCACCCCTAACAATTGGAATGATTCACCAAGAGTGTACATTTTTTTTTATATCTATCGAAAATATGGCATGCGTGTATAGCAAATTGGGAAATGGCTTTATCTCTTTCTTGGTAAAATTAAGAAAACACGTCATTGCCGAAAAGAGAAGAAGATGGAAAATTAAACCAGGGAAGGAAACTGCTGCAAATGAAAATCGATCCGCCATAAAGGTCATGGGGGGTGTCCAGCTTATGTTTTCGCTAATACGGCGACTGGTTCAAGGATCTGAAGAAGGCCGGAGCGTACAACGGCCGAAACGTTGGGATAAATATGGAAACAAAGATGAGGACATGTCCGAATAATGTAAATAATGCAGATCACCTTCCTATTTTAATATTTCCCAATATGCTTACCTGAACAAAGTAATACGCTGTCCATCTCAGACGAAGAAGAAACTTGAAGCGACAGAGATGTGGTTCTATCGATGACTGTATTCAGAAATAAAGAGTACTGGATTGCTATGTAATATATAATTTCTAATATGGTAGTGAATGCTGGACAGTCTATTCCCAAATGAAGAAGAAACTTGAGGCAACAGAAATGTGGTTCGACAAACAAAGAAAAAAATACTGGATTTCCTCCTATATGGAAGTGAATGCTGGGCAGTCGCTTCACAGATGAAGAAGAGACTTAAAGTGATAGAAATGTGGTTAAATGTGCTTAGATATCAAGAAAGGAGTGTTGAACTGCTACGCAATATCTACTCTCCAATATAGCAATGAATCCTGATCAATCTCTTCTCAATTAAAGAAGAGACTTCAAGCAATAGACATAAGGTCCTACTGATTAATGTCTTTAGAAACAAAGAACAGATTGCTGGACAGCTGTACAATATCTAATCTATATGGCAGTGAATGCTGTAAAAATCTCTTCACTGATGAAGAAGAGACTTGAAGCAACAGAAATGTGGTTCGACTGATGAATATCCATTGAAAGGAAGAAAGAAATTCTGGATTACTATGTAATATCTAATCTCCTATATGGCAGTGAATGCTGGCCTGTTTCTTCACAGATGAAGAGAATAAAGCGATAGAGATTTGGTTCTGTTGATGAATGTCCTAAGAAACATGCTATGTGATATCTCGTCCCCAATAAGGCAGTGAATGGTGGACAATCTCTTCACAGATGAAGAAGAGACTTGAAGCGACAG